GGGTTGCACCTTGGCTACCTGACTCACTCAAGGAAAACAGGAGAAGAAAGGAATCAGCTTTTTTCTTTTTTTTTCTTTTGCAGGCAGCAAAGGATACCCTGCAGCACCTGGCGACGGCTCTCCGGTGGCACCTCGGGGACACCCTCCTGGCGAGGGGAACTTACAGCCCGCAGGAGCCTCATCAGATCGCCAAGCGCCTGGTAGGAGCCCTTCTCTGGCTTCCATTCCCCTCTAGGGGTGAGAGGCAGGGTTGCCATATGGACCACTTGGTAATCTCCCACCTCTGTCTTTCTGCCTCTTCTCCTAGATCCGGTTCCCCATGTCAGAGGGGCAGCTGGAGGTGGAAGTGTTCTCCTGCCTTTCATACTGTAAGAGCAAGCAGGCTTCAGTGAGGAGAACGGCTGCTATGTTCATTGGTAACGGAGCTTCTTGTTTCCCCCAGGATCAAAGGGGGAGAGGATTCTGGGGTCACGGCCGCATTCAGTTGGGAAGTCAGCTTCGAAAGGGTCAGTTCTGTGTTTTTCTCCCTCCTTTCCTCTTTAGGTCACCTGCTGCACCTGAACGGCAGCCTCCTCACTGGAGGGACGGTTCCCATCTACCTAGCTCGTAAGCAATGCCTGCACAAAGGGAAAAGGGGAACAGCTTTGGGTTAGCAGTGTAGAGAGGGAAGGAAGGGAGGGAGGGAGGGAGGGAGGAAGGATGCAGGATTCATTTTGAAGCGCTGATCTAATATTTATTTTTGCAGATGTGGATAGGTTGCTTGGGGACCAGGACCCTGCAGTCAGGCGAGTCGCCTGGCAGTTGAAAGGTTTGGTGGACAAAGCCTTCTCCCTCCATGCTCCAGATGGACTGGTGGCTGCCCTCCGGCGCTTGGTGGCAGGCTGTAGGTGGCCACGGTACCCCCCGGAATATGAAGGCCTTTCCCCCTGATGGACCGGTGAGGGAAGCTGGGCAAGAACTGAAGGCGAATGGAGGGAAAGCAGGGGAAGGGGACCCGGGGTTTCCTCTGACGGGAGGGGACTTGCCATGGCCTGAGTCAACCTTGTTAGGGTGGGGGCCAACAGCAGAGGGCCTTCCCAGGAAGGGAGGAATATCCACTGATGGGCTTCCTCCCAGTTCAGGTTGAGGCAAGGCTTGCGAGCAGAGACACTGATTGCCTGATATCTCTGTGTCTTTGCAGGAATTCCAGCTCTTCCTCCCACAGCAGAGAACACCTTGCGGCCCCACAGAGAAAGACCCTTAGGGTGCCCTACCATCCCCTTGCTACGGACAAACGTCAGTCGCCGGCTGAC